TTTATCTTATAGATACCTTAAATAAATTCACAAGTTATTTATGTGTATTCCATCAATAATTGCTTCCTTATGAAAACCTAACATTTAAATTTGTTAGATAATTAAAACATGGACACATTTATCCTCTACAAAAACATATTGGAGTTGTTTTATCTAAGAATATTTATGGAAAGCTAAGAGAAAGGGAAACAATGCAAAAGTGTCAGTGTTTAAAAGTTTCATAAGGTGCGACTCTATTCCTGAGCCTCAGATGAGCCTAAAGCCCCTTACTGTAGCTAAGGTGGAAAAGGACGGGAGGCTGTTCAAGTCCCAGAATACAAGTTGCCTGATGTGTGAAGTTAGAGTTGGGAAGCCATGTTCTCTGCAGTGTTTTATAAATTTTTAGCTAACTAACACCATCTTCAATGATGTTTTGGAGGACTTGATGGAATCGCTGATTTTATTTCCCAGGACTTCACACTACAAAAAGTACTCGCACCTGAATATAAGACCAGGTGCTCGATTGCCCAGAATGGCCTGACCTAAACTCAACATGCAAGGTAGGCTGTATCGTCAAGAGAGAGAGGGAAGAAACTAGATTCAACAATGCAGAATAGAAACCTAAGCTCCCTGATCACCTCCCTGCCTCTGCATTTATGCAGGAACAGACCTGACCAGGTAGTGAGTGCATACTATAATTCATTGAGATACATCCATATCCAGGGTCTATTTGAAGCAAAAAAAATAAATAAATAAATAAAAAAAAAGAATATCTCAAAAACATGCTTGAAAAATTAGCTAATTGCTAAAATTTATATTTTGGGCTGTAAATGTAAAAAAATACACATAAAGAAAAAAACAAACACTAAAATAGTGGCTGGTCAACTCTAAAAACAACTATGAGGATCACTCAGCTATCTCAGGTGTGGAGCAGTCACTGAAAAAAAACAAAAACCTCCAGAAACAGTTAACAGAAGCAGAATATTAAAATAAATCACGTGAACCAACTGTGCACTTTTCAGTGTTAATATTCACGAAAACATTCCACTACACTTATCCCAAGCAGGGTCGCTGGTGCCCATCTCCAGCTGTCTACAGGCAAGTGGCAGGGTTCCTGGACAGGTCGCCAGTCTATTGCAGGGCAACATAGAGACAAACAGCCATTCATGCACACACCCACAGAGAATTCAGAGAAGCCAATTAATCCAGCAGTCATGTTTTTTGGATTGTGGGAGGAAGCAGGAGTACCCAGAGAGAACCCATGCATGCTCTTGGAGAACATGCAAACTCCATGCAGAAAGACCCCAGGCCGGGAATAAAACCGGGAACTTTCTTGCTGCAAGGTAGCAGTACTACCCACTGCTCCACTGAGCAGCCCTAGATGGTCCTCTTGCAGAACTTAAATCAACTGAATAATTACTTAATATTTAGAATCAATACCATAGTGAACCACTAGATGGTGCTGTGGTCTTTCTGTGCGGTCAGTAAAACTTAGTGAGGCCTAAAACAAACGACATATTGTTTAATGCACTGGATTTTCGGTGAATTTAAAGTCTAAGGATCTTACAAGTCAAACCTTAGATGAGTTAAGTTTGTCTCTTGCAAATAATTTTAGTCATAAATACTTATTGTATTGCTTTAAGACAAGCTTTGTAAGAAACCTTAGGCTGACTGAGCTAAACCAGTTGTCTCCTCTCAGCTGAAATCAGCTGAAACTGTCAACAAACCATTGCATATTAGAAAATAATTTGCACCCAGTTAACATTTAACAATGTTTTTCGTTAGGATTTTACAAATTGCAAAATTGTCAAACAGACACATATACAGCCCCCATGTGTGACAATTGCTACAACAAAATTGTATTTTTTGGCTTTCAGTCTGCCATATTAACACATTAATATGCTTGGATTTAAACCTTGAGTCAAATTCCAGTCCTCTGTATCAACACACCTGAATCCAGTTATTAGGTCATTTGCAGGGCTCTGTAGAACTTGGATGAATATTTCAGTCAGAGCTAATCTAGACATTTTGTTTTATAAAACTGAACCTTGGTTTAAACTTCTCCTCCAGCTTCATTTTTTAGCATTGCTTTCAACCTTGGTTTAAAGCTGCTGTTTCTTCACTATAGGGTGTTTCAACAAACCTCAGGCTGTCACCGAACCACTGGATTCATCATTTAATTAAATCAAGTTTGAGATTGGCTTCTTCTGTTTCATCTGTATGATTGGATTTTATTTAGGGACTGTCCTTTTAAAAATGCAAATATATGTTTTAATGTTCAGGATTTTATTTATAAAAATGTTAAAACCTATTCAGGATTTTCCTTCCACTTAAAAATTTAGTGTTGCTTTCTGATAGTCCTTTTAAGTTTATGGATGTTATGCAGCAAAATGGGAAAAAAGGGTATAAATACTTTTACAAGGAACTTTAAATGAATTCAGTACATAACACAGATGAGGAAAAATAGTTAAAACCTTCAGTTCGTCAAGCCAGAACCATCAAGTTACCATAGATCTTTGTCACTAGAGTAGGATAGAAATGTTAGTATTTCAGTATTAAGCTGAATTAATCCTGTTTTATAATATTTATTAAAAAAAATAAAAAAAATTTAATGTTTTGGAAAACTTATAGCTGCCACTTATTGACTGTTTATTTAAGGTACAACTTTCCTTGATGAAGTGCTACAGCTCAGGTTTCTCTGTGACCAACAATTAAGAATGGTCGATAAATGTTTTTAGTAGTAAATATGTTCAACTCAGGGTGAAATGTTTATAAGCTGATACAGAATTGAAATGTTAGGTTATAAGCCTTTTTTTAGTTCCCTCTGAACAGGATGGAAATACAGTAAGACTGTTTTGTAAAAGTGCTGTAAAATGGAGAATAATACCGTACTTGCTGCAATAGATCAATACATTTCACTCAGTCCTGTTTAATGCTCTGCACATTTAAAGTCATGGTCCTCTCTAAATGTTTTGTATTGATTTCATATTTGGGAATATTCACGCAGACGGGAAATACTTGACTTATTTGCTGTGAGAATGCATTTGTTTATTATGTATTCACTCTAAAAATAATACTAGTAAGCCTTATAAGCTTTAGGTCCAAAACCAAAGCCATTTATTATTAAATTAATGTCTTTCATTCTTTTGGTACCCTGCTTTTTCTTTTCAAAGCTCAAAATATTTGAAAATAAAGACTTGTGTCTAAAGTTCCAAATTCACTGTGAAAAAAGCTTTTTACCCTCTAGTTCAAGACAAAATGGTTATCGATTGGTAGTAAATACACTGTCTAGTAAAACTATAAACAGCCCTTAAACATTTTACTTTTCGCAAACCATTATTATAAACAATTATTATAAAATATTATTCATAAAATGCAATTATTTTGCATTTTATGAAACAGACTAAAAGTGGTGCAAAGTTGAGAGGGGGGAAAATTAAACTGAAAAGTGTTGCATGCATTTGTTTTCAGCTTCCCTCAGTCACTGCTTTGTATTATTGTATATGAATCCGCTGCAAATATAGCAGCAAGGCAAGGTATGCCTCTAAGCCAATGCTGCTCAAACTTCCTGCCATGAGGGTCAAAAATCTTAAGTTGAAAAACCCACATGGTGTTTTGATTTTTATAAATAACATTTAAAAAAGTTTTTAAATTTTACTTTAAAAGCTCCACAATGAAATAATCACATTTTAGTGCAACAAAGTATTAGTAATATCTGTAACAAAGGGATCCATAAATCGTCCTAGGCTTACATGGTTAACCCCCCCACAATAGATCTAGCCATGTTATGATTCTACCATCTTGCTTAATTTGGCACCTTTAATAAATGTGCGCAAGATTTCTGAGAGAGAAGAGAAGAGACAGCAGTTTTCCAAGAGCTAAAGACCACTTTTGGAGAGCTTCAGAAAGAATTGGAATTAGCAAGTACAATTGTTTCAAAGAAAACAATAAGTAATGCACTCAACCGATATAGCCTTTATACATGCTTACCATGCAAGACTCCATTACTGAAGAAAAAGCATGTTGAAGCTAATTTCAATTTTGCTGCACAACAAGCCTGTGAAATACTGGGAGAATATTGTCTGGTTAGGTGAGAACAAAATGAACTCTTTGGATGCCATAATACACATCATGTTTGGAGATCAAATGGCTCTGCACATCCTCCCAATAACACCATACCAACAGTGAAGTTTGGATGTGGGAGCATCATAGTGTGGGCAGTTTTTCAGCATATGGTACTGGCAAACTTAAAATAATTAAGGGAAGGATGAATGGAAAAATGTACAGACACATTCTTGATAGGAATCTGCTGCCATCTACCAGGATGATGAAAATAAAACATGGGTGGACATTTCAGCAACAAGACGATGACACCAAACACATAGCCAAGGAAACTCTCAATTCGTTTCAGAGAAAGAAAATGAAGTTTCACCTGACTTGAATCCAATAGAAAATCTATGGAAAGAACTAAAGATCAGAGTTCATAGAAGAGGCCCAATAAAACCTTCAAGATTTGAAGACTGTGTGTGTGTGGAAGGATGGGCCAAAATCACACCTG